CATGGTCGTAGTGGTAATGGTAGTGGTCATTGTAGCAGTTGTGGTAGTAGTAGAAGTAGTCGTACAGGTAGTAGTAGAAGTAGTAGTAGTCATAGTAAGATGAGGAGTAGCAGTAGCAATGTCAGTAATGGTAATAATCATAGTAATAGCAGCAGTAGCAGTAGCAATTTCACTAATAGTAAAAGCAAGAGTAACAGTCATAGAAATGGTAATAGTAATAGCAGTAGTAATAGTAATAGCAAAAGTAGTAAGAATAATGATAAAAGTAATGGTGACAGTAATAGTACTCGTACAAGTAGAGTACAGGTAATAGAAACAATAATAGTAATCGTGATAGAGATAATAATCGTAAGAGTACTAGCAACAGTACTAGTAATAGTGATAGTAAGTGTAATATCGTAATAGCAATAGCAATAACCGCAACAGCAATAATAGTAGTAACAGTATAATAACGGTAAGGGTCAGAATAAGAATAATAGTAATAATAACAGTAACAGTGATAGTCATAGTAAAAGTAATAGCAGTGGTAGTAATAATATCAGCACTAGTAGTATAATATTCATAGCTAGAATAATAATAATAGTAATAGTCATAATCATAGTAATAGTCATATTATTAGTACTAGTACTAGTAATAGTAATAGTAATAGTAATAGTAGTAGTACTAGTAGTAGTAGTAGTAGTAGTAGTAGTAGTAGTAGTAGTAGTAGTAGTAGTAGTAATAGCAATAGTAATAGTAATAGTAATAGTAATAGTAATAGTAATAGTAATAGTAGTAGTAATAGTAATAGTAACAGCAATAGCAATAGCAATAGCAATAGCAGTAGCAATAGCAATAGCACTAGCACTAGCAATAGCAATAGCAATAGCAATAGCAATAGCAATAGAAATAGCAATAGCAATAGCAATAGCAATAGCAATAGCAATAGCAATAGTAATAGTAATAGTAATAGTAATAGTAATAGTAATAGTAATAGTAATAGTAATAGTAATAGTAATAGTAATAGTAATAGTAATAGTAATAGTAATAGTAATAGTAATAGTAATAGTAATAGTAATAGGAATAGTAATAGTAATAGTAATAGTAATAATAATAGTGATAATGATAGTGATAGTGATAGTGATAGTCATAGTAATAGTAACAATAATAAAGATAGGAGTAGTAATAGTAATTGTAAGAGTAACAGTACTAGTAATAGTATTGGTAAGAGCAAAAAACGAACAAAATCAAAAATAAACTGGTCCCCCCGGTCCGTGGGAGGCCATGCCTGGCCGTGGCGCCCCTCGCCTGAGGGTCTCCGGCCTGGAGCGCTTGATCCTCCCTGTGGGAGCACCCTGGATTTTTTTCATTTTTTGATTGTTTGAAAAAGGCAAAAAAATCAAAAAAAACTAAACAATTTTTTTCATTTTCTTAATTTTTTCAAACAGACAAAAAATTCAAAAAAAACGAAAAAAATCCTGGTCCCCTCGGTCCCTGGGAGGCGATGCCTGGCCGTGGCGCCCCTCCCCTGAGGGTCTCCGGCCTGGAGCGCTTGATCCTCCCTGTGGGAGCACCCTGGATTTTTTTGATTTTTTTCATTTTTTCATTTTTTGCTTTTTTTGAAAAAGGCAAAAAAATCAAAAAAAATCCTGGTCCCCCCGGTCCCTGGGAGGCGATGCCTGGCCGTGGCGCCCCTCCCCTGAGGGTCTCCGGCCTGGAGCGCTTGATCCTCCCTGTGGGAGCACCCTGGATTTTTTTTGATTTTTTTTAATTTTTTCATTTTTTGATTTTTTTGAAAAAGGCAGAAAAATCAAAAAAAAACTAAACAATTTTTTTCTTTTTTTTATTTTTTTCAAACAGACAAAAAATTCAAAAAAACAAAAAAACGAAAAAACGAAAAAAATCCTGGTCCCCTCGGTCCCTGGGAGGCGATGCCTGGCCGTGGCGCCCCTCCCCTGAGGGTCTCCGGCCTGGAGCGCTTGATCCTCCCTGTGGGAGCACCCTGGATTTTTTTGATTTTTTTCATTTTTTCATTTTTTGATTTTTTTGAAAAAGGCAAAAAAATCAAAAAAAAACTAAAGAATTTTTTTCTTTTTTTTAATTTTTTCAAAGAGACAAAAAATTCAGAAAACTCAAAAAAACGAAAAAATTAAAACCATCAAGAAATCCTGGTCCCCCCGGTCACTGGGAGGCCATGCCTGGCCCTCCCCTGAGGGTCTCCGGCCTGGAGCGCTTGATCCTCCCTGTGGGAGCACCCTGGATTTTTTTGAAATTTTTGATTTTTTTCTTTTTTTGAGTTTTTTGAAAAAGGCAAAAAAAAACAAAAAACTCAAAAAAACTTTTTTGATTTTTTGAATTTTTTTCAAAAAGGCAAAAAAATCAAAAAACTCAAAAAATTCAAAAAAATCAAAAAAATCCTGGATCCCCCGGTCCCGGGGAGGCGATGCCTGGCCGTTGCGCACCTCCCCTGAGGGTCTCCGGCCTGGAGCGCTTGATCCTCCCTGTGGGAGCACCCTGGATTTTTTTGAGTTTTTTGATTTTTTTCATTTTTTTGAGTTTTTTGAAAAAGGCAAAAAAATCAAAAAACGCAAAAAAACTTTTTTGATTTTTTTGAATTTTTCAAAAGACAAAAAAATCAAAAAACTCCAAAAATTCAAAAAAAATCAAAAAAATCCTGGATCCCCCCGTCCCGGGGAGGCGATGCCTGGCCGTTGCGCCCCTCCCCTGAGGGTCTCCGGCCTGGAGCGCTTGATCCTCCCTGTGGGAGCACCCTGGATTTTTTTGATTTTTTTCATTTTTTCATTTTTTGATTTTTTTGAAAAAGGCAAAAAAATCAAAAAAAACTAAACAATTTTTTTCATTTTTTTAATTTTTTCAAAGAGACAAAAAATTCAAAAAAACAAAAAAACGAAAAAACGAAAAAACTCCTGGTCCCCTCGGTCCCTGGGAGGCGATGCCTGGCCGTGGCGCCCCTCCCCTGAGGGTCTCCGGCCTGGAGCGCTTGATCCTCCCTGTGGGAGCACCCTGGATTTTTTTGATTTTTTTATTTTTTCATTTTTTGCTTTTTTTGAAAAAGGCAAAAAAATAAAAAAAAACTAAACAATTTTTTTCATTTTTTCAAACAGACAAAAAATTCAAAAAAAACAAAAAAACGTAAAAACGAAAAAATCCTGGATCCCCCGGTCCCTGGGAGGCGATGCCTGGCCGTGGCGCCCCTCCCCTGAAGGTCTCCGGCCTGGAGCGCTTGATCCTCCCTGTGGGAGCACCCTGGATTTTTTGATTTTTTTCATTTTTTCATTTTTTGATTTTTTTGAAAAAAGCAAAAAAATCAAAAAAACTAAAAAAAAAACATTTTTTTTATTTTTTTCAATCAGACAAAAAATTCAAAAAAAACAAAAAAAACGAAAAAACGAAAAAAATCCTGGATTCCCCGGTCCCTGGGAGGCGATGCCTGGCCGTGGCGCCCCTCCCCTGAGGGTCTCCGGCCTGGAGCGCTTGATCCTCCCTGTGGGAGCACCCTGGATTTTTTGATTTTTTTTCCATTTTTTCATTTTTTGATTTTTTTGAAAAAGGCCCCCGGGTCTCTGGGACAAGACCGACCAGGTCTATTTGGAAGATGCCTTCTTCTTTTCATAATTACATGTAAGTGTATATTTCCCTTATTAAAGACATAAGAAGGAGCTTCCAAATAGACCCGGTTTTGCTCACACACTCCCCCCCCCCCCGGCGCCTTTGAAGGTCACTCGCTGTCACCTATCCGGTCGCGAGCGCTGGCCGACGAGTTGATCCGGCTCCAGCTCGCTCAAGAACGGCAAGCCACGCGGCCATGCACAAAGAAGAGACGCTGGAGTTGCTGCTGCTGCTGCTGATGTTCCTGACTCAGCGAGAGTCGCGAAGAAAATCTTCGAGTCGCTTATTTGTCTGAGTGACCTCGATGACACCTGAATCAGCGTTGGTGCGACCCGTACTGGGAAGCCGGCTGGGATTCTGTGGTCGACGGCAAGACTCGGACACCGTTTGGTAGTCCATCAGCAAGAAACGTGGACATCTGCCGCTGCGTGACCCGTATTGGGAAGCCAGCTCAGATGTGCCTAGGTCGACGACAGGATTTTGGGGAAAAAACCAAAGAAAACATGCTGTTGCGAGGGAAGCGATTCATGTGACGTCGTTTGGTAGTTCATCAGCAAGCATGCTCAAGAATCGATATCCTTCTCTCTCTCTCTCTCTCTCTCTCTCTCTCTCTCTCTCTCTCTCTCTCTCTCTCTCTTTCTCTCTCTGTCTTGCAGTTGTTGCTCTCAGATCCGTGAGCCCTGCCCATACATGTTTGTGACAGCTGCTATGATGCGTTCTTCTGAAATTGCTTGAACTAGATTAGAAGCGGTTCGGATGGTGGCTCGGGCGCAGAAGACGGCGTTGAAGGCACGCAGCTGTTCTGTGGAGCCTGCGTTAGTGCTGCGCGTGGAGGCGGCTCGTGCCGAAGCGGCTAGGCTTAGGAGAAATCGCTCGTACAGTGGTGCCAGCATGGAGTCGTGAACGCACGGCAGTGCTCCAGATATCGGGCGGAACTCGACTTGATGATCGTGTTAGAACGATGGAGATGTATAAGCCTATGCTGCGCGACCCGGAATGGGAAGCTAGCGGTTGAGACTTATTGTTTGTTTTGTTTTTGTGTTTGTCGTTACCGCAGAAGTAGAGTTGACTGAAGGACGATCACACGAATGCTGTGGTGGCTCCTAGTCCTAGCTTTCCCGCTGTGTGACCCGTATTGGGAAGCCAGCCGGGATGCTTCCATGGACCGCTTCGCTTCGTGACGCGGCCGCTGCGTGACCCGTATTGGGAAGCCAGCCCGGATGCCGAGATCGAAAACCGCGCGAGTTTCATAAGAAAAGCTCGCTCTTGACGACGAAAGTGTTTCGGATGCATCTATCGCCAGCGAAATTGATGCAGTACGTTCTCCAGGCTCGCTAGGTGTATGTAGCCGTCCCTTCTTGGTGTTTTTGAGTGTTTCTGTGGGCTCGGACATGCTGCGTCTTCGCGCTCTCAGCGGTGAGCAGCTTTTCGTAGTGAACCCGCTGGAGCAAACATCCTCGGACAACGTGCTGAATACGTTAAGGTCCATGGTGGCTGGTCACTTTGGAATCCTTCAGGGTCGTGTGGACCTTCATTCCATGGATGAGTCTCGGCCAATCGGCCGGTGCGTTGTTTGGCAGAATTCCGAACATTTCTTGGCAGGCCAGGATTTGGATGTTCTGATGCTCCTGCGACCATTTCGATCTGGCTGTGAGGACGAGCTGGTCTCTGCCATACAGAGCGAAGACGGGAACTACGTGGATCGGCTGCTTGCAAGCTGGGTGGATCCGAACGTTGACTTGACGGATTATGGTGGTCTCAGGCGGCGAGTGCGGTGGACTCCTCTTTGTTTTGCTGCACAAATTCCTGGGGCGAATTGTCGCATCGCTGCGAGCCTTCTTGCCGCGCGAGCCACATTCGAGACCGAAGGAACCACCGCTCTCTGCTGCGCTTGCAGCGTCTACAATGTGCAGATGGCGCAATTCTTGGTCTTCTGCTTAGCTTAGCTGATGTCAATCGCCGAGACTGGCAAATGGACTCGCCTTTGCTCATTGCTGCGTCGATGGGTTCCAGGTCCTTGGTGCAGGTTCTGTTGCGAAATGCGGCGGACGTCACCCAGGAAGATGGGTTGGGTCGTGGTCCCATCGAGAGGTGTTTCATGGACTCTTCGATCGAGCCAGTCCTGTCTCTGATGCGAGCTAGAGCTACGGTGCGACCTTACACGCACAACTGTCATCTCCTTCATCAAGCCGCTGAAAGGGGCAGCCACAGGTGGGTGGCATGTTTGGTGCGGGCGCGAGCCAGCCCGGAGCTTCGCGACACGTTGGGACATCTTCCGCTCGACGTGGCACTGCGCCGGTCTGGTTTCCGGCGTCGGGTTCAATGCAGACGATGCCTTCGCGGGCTTGGAGCTGGAAGAAGATATGACCACCCGCACGAAGAGTAGAGGCCGAATCGCTGGGTGACCCGTATTGGGAAGCCAGCCCGGAGGCTCGGATCGACGATGGCATGAGTTTTGGAAATAAGATTGCCTTTGTTAGCGAAGGAGCCACATGTGGCCGTGCACGGGGACTAGAGTAGTGCTGGTTCCGCGCAGGATGAGTTGTTTCAGAAGATCCAGATACGTTCTTGATAGGCCCGTCACTGTCAATCTTGCTGTTGCTGTTGCTGCTCCAGAAGCAGCGAAAGCTGCGAGGAAAGTCTCCCTGCCACTTTCGTTGTCAGTGCTGCCTCGTCGAAGTAGCTAGCACATGACCTTCGGCTTGGCTCCGGCAGCGCTTGAGTTTCCGAATGTTGTCGGTCTCCGTCCGGAGGGTCTGGAAGTCATTCTATTTCAATTGACTGCAACGGAGGCTGGACACATTTGCCATGTCTTGAAAATGGTGTTGACGGATGCAGAGAACTGTTGGTTTCCGGCAGGAGAATGCTCCGGCGTCATTGCGTACTTGCACGCCTTGAAAGGAATCTGTTCTCGTCATCGTCTTCCTTCTCCTACGCCTTGCTTACCCGGCTGGGGACCAATGTCAGAAAGATTGATGCGCCGTCTCGAGTTGGGAGTCTTTCTTCGGACTTGGTTTCTGTACACGAAAGCCGAGCTCAGTCTAGCAGCGGCCCGGCGGCAATCGGACCTGGAACCTTCATCCAAAATTCGCCGAAGGCGGTGATCGGTGCGCGGTGCAATTTTCGCGTGTAGTAGGACCGGTGCGACCCGTATTGGGAAGCCAGCCGGCATGCTGTGATCGACGACTCGATTTGGACACCTGGCCGCTGTGTGACCCGTATTGGGAAGCCAGCCTGGGGATTCGGAACGACCGCATGACTGAAAAAAAAAGTTTGCACTCGCGAGTGAAGCTGTTCTTGTGATGTGGTCTGGTGATTAGGCCATCAGCAAGAAATCACAAGAATCGTGCAGCGCAGAACGCTGTGTCTCTCTGGAACTGTTGGTTTCCGGCAGGAGAAGGCTCCGGCGTCATTGCGTACTTGCAAAAAGGAATCTGTTCTCGTGATCGTCTTCCTTCTCCTTTAATTGAGTGCCCAAAGCATCCCGTAGCCCCTCTTGGCAGCTGACAAGTTTCGCTACTGCTGAGACCTACTAGCAAAGCCACCCCTCCACGGACGAAGACGCAATCGGCCTTGATCTCAGAAATTGTCGCATTTCCTGGGTTGAAGGCCTCGAAGATAGAGTTTCTTTGTTGCCATCCCAAGTGACCGTTGTGCGTTCAGCAGTCTGCGGGTCTTCTGTGCCGTGTTCGGCTCGAGTCTGCTTGTGCAGACATTTGTCCATGGCTTCGGTGAGTTTGCTTGCGCCAACATCTGGCCATATCACCGTATGAATCCCATGTGCCATGAACGAGCGGTCACGAGGCCGAATCCGATCTACACAACATGATACAAACTAGGGAAGACAGTTGGCACAGAGTCCAGAGGCTACACCGCCATGGTCCCTGTCTCGTCGGTCGTCCAGCTGATTGTGGAATTTTCATTCCAGAGCTGGGTTCAGGTGTGTGGACTGCTTGCTTTTTCATCATCTCTGGTATGACGATTCCACAGATGACTCCGGTGCCGACTTGAGCGAAGAGCAACATATCGCTGCTGGGCGTCAGAAAATCGCAGACCTGATGCACATGATCCACATGACGGAGCTACACATGGTGCATATTCCTGGCTCTAGGGCCGATCTCCTCATAGAATTCTGCGCCTGTGATGTGCGACAAATTGTCATCATTGCAGCATGTTCCAAGATCTGGCTGGAACAGCTTCGGGTAAGACTGCAGCACCGTAGCAGTGCATACGGCTTGTGGTGGCTGACTAGTGCTTATACACGAGCTCCCGCGATTTCATGTTTGCAGAGCCTCGAGATCACCATTGGAGCAGCTGCTGTAGAACTCAGATTCTTCCGAGTCAAGTCTGTTTCGCTGTGAGCAAAACAGCAGCGAGCATTGATTGACTCTGACGTTGCTTGGTTGATGGAACAGTATGAGCAGAAATACGTGCCCGCAGCCTTCTCTCCGCCAATGTCAGAAAGATTGATGCGCCGTCTCGAGTTGGGAGTCTTTCTTCGGACTTGGTTTCTGTACACGAAATCCGAGCTCAGTCTAGCAGCGGCCCGGCGGCAATCGAACCTCGAACTTTCACCCATCGGTGCGCGATGCAATTATCGCGCGTAGTAGGACCGGTGCGACCCGTATTGGGAAGCCAGCCGGCATGCTGTGATCGACGACTCGACTTGGACACCTGGCCGCTGTGTGACCCGTATTGGGAAGCCAGCCCGGGGATTCGGAACGATCACATGACTCGAAAAAAATGCTCTCGTTTTGTGATGTCGTCTGGTGATTAGGCCATCAGCAAAGAAACACAGGAATCGCGCGGCGCAGAACACTGTGTCTCTCTGCTGTTGTTCATTTCATGCTCTCGAATCCGAGTTGATCTCCTAGCTGCCGCCATGTCGGCAGCGTCCGGGACTTTTGACAGAGGTCTTCGTTGGCAAGATCTGGAAGCTTTGCTGGGATCCGTGAGTGAGGCTTCGAACAAAGGTCTGCGTCGGCGAGATGTGGAAGATGTTCTAGGATCAGTGAGTACAGCGAAAGCCTGCAGTATTTCTCGGGTGCTGAAAGAGGTGGTTTTCGATGTGAGAGAGCAGCTGCAGGACTCGTTGTGCGACTGGCATGCGGCGGTTGGAAGCCACCCGCGTGTCGTGACGTACTTCAACGCGTTGCTGATAGTCTGTGATCGTCATCTTCCTGCACCTCCGGATGCCGACATCTCTCGCTGGGACGATGAGAAAGAGGGATGGATGCTGCGCCTGTACGATGAAGTCTACCTTCGAAGTTGGATACTGGCCACGAAGCCACTCAGGGCTCGACGTCGCCGTTGTCGGCGCCGGTGGAATAAGAAGCCAGTGTCATCGTCCCGCCGAAGATGGTGATGCTCGACGACTGCGACGGCCTGGACGCTGCGTGACCCGTATTGGGAAGCCAGCTCGGATGTCGAATCGGATGGACGGCGCGTCTTTGAGAAAAAGTGTGCTCTTGCCGCCGAAATAGTATGAAAGCATCATCGATCTTGTAGATGAAGAGCCGTCTTGGCACGAAGACCAAAGCCGGTCCGATGAAAGCAATGAAGCCCAACAAGATCTCGATGACGAAGAAGGCCGCAAAGATGACGACGGCGACCAGGCGTCCCGCGGCGGCCATGAAGAGGCCTTCGGCAGCGCGGAAGCCAGCGGCCATGAAGAGACCGTCGGCACCTCGGAAACGGCAGGAGCCGAGGAAAAACAATGCCGGTACCTTTGTTGCCAGAATCCCTGAGCCCCTGGTAGATGCATCAATCCAGACGGATCCTGCTGCTGTGCCTGACGATTTGCATGCGGGAACTCCACCTGGTCCGCTGCGCTGGGCACAGCCTAACTCGCTGAACCATCCCACACTCCGGCATTTTCCGGGGAAGATCGAGGTGTGGCAGCTGGATGCTGATACTGGGCAGGCGTACTGTGTCGACAGTGTTCCAGAAACATGGTCGCTTCAGGAGACGGTGGCTGCGATGGAAAATCCGGGCTGCGGAGCGGAGTTTCTGCATGCCACAGCTGTCGCGGTGGCAGTCAAAAGAGGAGCGCTTTGCGATGGCCAGCCACCCGAAGACGGCCGTGAAGACGACGAGGACTGTGAAGACCAAATGACAGGCCTGGAGACGACGAAGGCGGTGAAGACTCGGGTGAGAGCCGTGGACCTGATCGGAGCCTGGAAGCAGAGGATCAGCTCGACTGCCCCTCGCAACACGGAGTAAGTCTGGACGGCTCTCCTGCCCTTTTCAACATCCAGGAGACTAGCAACCCTGAGCTACAAGAGTGGTTTCGAGAGCTTCAAGAGATGGCTGATCGAGCCACGGAGCAGCCTGAAGATGGCCATGGACACCAAGATGAAAGGCCCGAAGACCGCGACGGCCATGAAGAGCACGATGAAACGTTCGAAGGCGACCCTGAAGGCGCGTGGGACAGCTGTGCACACGATCCTTTCGGAGTTGGATTCTGTCTATGAAGCTGCCTGTCTGTCGCATCATCCCGCCGAAGGTGGTGATGCTCGACAAATGTGACGGCCTGCACGCTGCGTGACCCGTATTGGGAAGCCAGCCCGGATGTCGAATCGGATTGTGACCGCATGTCTCTGAGATAAATTGTGTTCTTTCCAGGGAAAGAGTATGAACGGATTATCGATCTGGCACGTAAAGATCTGCGGAACGAAGACCGAACGGGCTCTGATGAAAGTTAGGGAGCCCAAGAAGACCGCGATGACGAAGAAAATCGCAAAAGTGACGAGTGCATAGCGCGGTTTGTATGCTGTGCTACCCGTACTGGGAAGCCGACCAAACGTGTGCTTAGATCGACCGACCGCAGGACTTGAGAGGGAGAGAGAGAGAGAGAGAGAGAGAGAGAGAGAGAGAGAGAGAGAGAGAGAGAGAGAGAGAGAGAGAGAGAGAGAGAGAGAGAGAGAGAGAGAGAGAGAGAGAGAGAGAGAGAGAGGGGAGAGAGAGAGAGAGAGAGAGAGAGAAGAGAGAGAGAGAGAGAGAGAGAGAGAGATTCTTAGCATAGACTCCAGTGCAGTAGTAGTAGTAGTCGTAGTACTAGTAATAGCAGTAGTAAACCCTAAACCCTAAACCCGAAGGGGCAAGAGCTCAGATCACGGAAGCATCCTTTATGGAGTATGAGCAAGGACGCTCCTCCAATAATGAGGAGGGGATTGGGGAGGGGGGCGGAGGGTCAAACCCTTCGCACTGCCCCTCCCACCCCCCCTGTCCGTGATCTGAGCTCGAAGCCCTAGACCCGAAACCCCGGACCCCTGAATCTTTAGTAGTACTAGTAGTAGTAGTAGTAGTAGTAGTAGTAGAAGTAGTAGTAGGATTAGTAGGATTAGTAGTAGTAGTGAGAGAGAAAGAGAGAGAGAGAGAGAGAGAGAGAGAGAGAGAGAGAGAGAGAGAGAGAGAGAGAGAGAGAGAGAGAGAGAGAGAGAGAGAGAGAGAAGAGAGAGAGAGAGAGAGAGAGAGAGAGAGAGAGAGAGAGAGAGAGAGAGAGAGAGAGACAGTGAGAGAGAGAGAGAGAGAGAGCGAGAGAGAGAGTGAGTCACTTCATGCTCACGTCGACGTCGAGTTGCTAGCAGGCTCAGTCAGGCCGCGAGCTACCGCTCGACTTTTTCTCGGTGGTGCCATGGCAAGCGTGGAGCTCCTGTCTCTTCCTGTTTCGATTCTGGAAGGAGTGCTTCGTGACGTTGTTTCCGTGCCTGTCACACTGGAGCTGCACACAAAAGGTGGCGTGTGGCGGCCTGACGCATCCGGAGAGTGGGTGAAGCATGCTCCGACGCCGTCGACGGCCGTCACATTGCAACACCTCCGGAAGTGGCAGCCGTGCTTGCCTGGGATGACCATAGAAGAAAAGGGAGGCAGGATCAAAGTCAGGTTCCGTCACCCCGGTATACGACAGCTTGCTCGGGTGGGGTCTGGCGAATGTCATGGGTCGAGATTGGCAGCTGACGGGCTGGGAGTTCGCCGATCAATGCGAAGATCGTATCCTGATAGACAACCGCAAGTATAGTTGGGAATACCGACGTATTCATCGTGCATGCTTGCATCTGCTTCTTCTTCTTCGTCAAGGACTTCCTAGCCGCCTGAGCAAAACGCTGAGTCTCGAAGCTTTTGTGGGAAGGCACGTGGCATGGGAGGGAGGGCGATCGAGATGCCTGTCTGAATCGTGTGAAGTGGGCCGACCTCTGGCCCGAGCATCATTCAGTGAATGCCTCTTGTTCCTCTCAGTGACCTCTGATGCGCTGCGGCGAACGCAGGATGAGCCGGGGTGGGTTCATCGCAACCACGGAGAGTTTTGGTTTCCGGAAGCAGGTCGACCCGCCGTTGGTTGACTGGGGTCCCGGCGGCGCCGCCGAACTGAGTCTTTAAGTGTAGTCAGATTTTGTCGTCGACCGCCTCCGTGCTGTCAGTTCCTAGATAGGTTTCTTCTCCTGCACATGCTGCGGGTGTGTCGTTTGGCGGGAACGGGTAGCGGTGGTCGAAGGGGAAAGGACGCCCCCCTCGTCGAGAAGCCGACAGAGGCGTGTTCGTGATTTTGCCTGGAGGGCGGGCATGCACTCTGGAAAGGATTCGCTGACCGCTGTTGTTGACGGCCTGCGCGCTGTGTGACCCGTATTGGGAATCCAGCCCGGATGCTTAGATCGATCGCGGAACTTGAATATAATCTTCGCACGCAGAGGCGTTGCTCCCCATGTTCAAGTCGGCGCCGTTGGTTTCGGCACGAAGTTTCCCGGAGCTTGCTTTTAGTGGTAGTGGGCGCTTGTAGTCCTGATGAACGAGTTCTTTTGTCCCGCGTATGGCGTATGGCTCCTTGGTGAAGCTGGAAGGACCCTTCCCGCCGGATTGGCAAGTTCGTCGTCTTGGTCGAGCCTTTTATCTCGACTATCTTCATCATGCCAAGCGTTACTGGCGTCCGGAGATTTGCATCGTGGAAGAGCTGGCGCAGTTCGAAGATCGGATTCGACTCATGCACGGGGCGGAGGTGATCTGGTCTTTGGAACACTACTACATCCGGTGTAGAGAGTATCGCAAGGAGCTTCGAGAAGCTTTCGGAGATGTGTTCGGGTCCACGGTGCAAGAGTACAAGTCCACGATGGCTCGGCGTGGTTGTGGCACCGACCGCATCGCGGTCGAAACCAGCCCATCTCTTTCGAGCGACGAAGAAGACGAAGTCCCGGCGATGGATTTGAATTATGATTATCTGTATTTTCTTTGACCCAGCAGCTGAGGGAGTTGTCATTGCTTCACGTAGCGGGCCGGCACAATCGGATTGACCCGTATTGGGAAGACCGATGGCGGCCCGATTCTGATGTGTGGCTGTGTGCGCAAGACAATTCGCAATTCGCCAGAGGAGCCACGCTGTACAGAAGCTCCGAATTGGTAATTAATCATCATGGGCATGAGTGCCAGAATTGATGGCGATTGCATGGTTGCCATGGTTTTGAGTTGCTTCTTCGACCGTTGCTGTGGGAAGCTGGAAGACGAGTGTCGACGCTCACATATTCCTTCGCACTTGTGCGCTTGTGCTGTACATCATAGTAGAACAGTCTGCGTATCACCTGCAACCGCAGTACGGCTAGCACTGCAGATCGAAGATAGGTTGCTCCGCATTGAAAAAAAGCGCGCTGCCATGGGTCGCTCCGTCTTGAAGAAACCCGCCGCCGCGATGAAGAAGAGGCCCGCTGCGACCCGGCGCACTGCACGCTACCGGCCGAAGTACCGAAGCATGAGTTTGGAGGCCTGGACCGCCAAATACTACCCAAACGACGTTAAGCGGAGGGACGGAATGGAAAATGAGAACATGGACATCGACAAAGACGAGGGCGAGGGGGAGCGGGAAATGGAGCCTGAAGAGATGAACTTGAGCCAGGCCACGGCCATGCAGTTGCCGGGGCCTTCGAAGAACCATCCGAGGAAGGATATTCGCAGCAAACAGGAGTCGCCGTCTCTCTCTGCGGTGGTGACCGAAGTCAAGAAGCTCCTGGACTATCTGCGTGACGAAGGAGAGGTGCTGACGGTGGAGCAGTTGGGTTGGAATGTCATGGAGAGACTGGACGAAGCTTGGTTCACGGGCAGCGTGCCGGGCATCGAGAACGTCGCTCGTTCCTTGCAGAATCCGTTCTATCCAGATGGAGGTTTTCGATCATCCAAAAACCTTGGTAGCACGACAGATGTGTCGCTCTTTGTCGATGCCATTTGGCGAGATGCAGTGAACTTCGCAGAGGCGTCTTGCAAGAAAGTTACCGAGGAGTGCTAATGAAGTTTCGATACCGGCCTGGCAGCGACGGATCTGTTGCGTGCCGTGCGACCCGTATTGGGAAACCGGCACGGCTGCCCAAAGTTGCCCGCGACTTCGAAGAAAAGGTTGCCGTTGCGCATGTGTGTGTGTGTGTGGACGCTCCGCGATCTAGCTTTCTTGCTGTCTGTGTTCAGGACCGCTGCAGAGGCTGGCTCCGGAAATCAACATGTCTCATGTAAGGTTTGCCGACAATAACCGTATCAATAGCAGTCACGTCGCCATGAAAAGGGATGCAGCCCAAGCTTCGCTCCAGCGTGATCGTGACAGAGATGATGCCCGTGGCGTTCGTCTTCGGCCCAAAGATTTTGCTGGATATTGGGTGAAGAATCTTCCACCCGAGGGGCTTGGGGATGGCATCACAGCGGCTTGCTTCACGATACCTCATGATGGTCTCGTTGACGATTTGAAACAGTTCATTGCTCGAGAACTGACCAATCCACACTTTTATCTTCCAATGCGAGCTTTTCGACTCACGCAGAACGGCGAGGACAAGCCGCCCGTCACCAAGCTCAGCGCCATCGATACCACGGATCTACTGACTTTTGAATGGGTTGAACCATACTCGAGCGAAAATTATCCCCGCCTTGAGTACAGGCCGTAGAGTGCGTGTGGTTCACCCTGCGTGCTGTGTGACCCGTATTGGGAAGCCAGCGCAGATGCTTCCATCGATCGCAAAACACGTTACTCTTCGACTTGATTTGTGTCAGCTAAGTACGTTCGCAACGACAAGATCATGTAGTCAGCCCATATCGCAGCCGCAGCCGACTATCTCGAGCTTTTGCCGCCACACGCTGTTCGACCCGTATTGGGGACAACAGCCATGCCCGTCGAAGTCGGAGTCGGCAAGACGGAGACGCTCTTGCTGAAGCCCTCGGAGTACCAGGGACTGAACGGCACGGCTGTTGCCGGGCGAGTTGTGATCATGACCACGAACACGGTGCCGATCAAGCAACGCGTCAGCCCTGCCGCTGCGCCTTCCAAAGGGAAAGGCAAGACCAAAGCCAACAAGGAAGCCCAGCAGCAGACGAGCCAGAAGACGGAGCTGCATTTGGCGGGATCGGACTCGGTCAACGAGGTCGTCTTCATCGATGCTTGGGCGGATGCGTCTGATCGGATTTGCGAGCGCTGCAAGGTCGGAGACTTGATTTCCATCACAGGTGCTTCTGTGCTGCCCACGCCACAGCCCTGGTCGACCTCCCGTTTGCCTTACCACCTTCGAATCAAGGGCACGGTCGGGATTCAAGTTCTCGTGCAGAAGCTAGAGAGCTTGCCTTGGGGCAAGCCCCCTGCGCACCATCCGTTGGTGTCGTTGGACTCCTTGGCCCGCGTCAAGGGCAAACAACAAGTTTGTGTGGCTGCGCAAGTCGCGGAGAACCCGGGAAGCACGGAGAGAGACGTGCAGAACCAGGGCAGGCAGAACGTCTGCAACGCCGTCCTTCAGCAAGGTGGCACCCGGGTCCGGTGCGCCTTTTGGCGAGGCTTTGCTGACCAACTCGCAACACGAGAGCCGGGAACTTGCTTGCTGCTTCTCCAAGTGCAGGTGGAAAAGAAGAAAGAGGGATCGTGGGAACTGGGCAGTCTTCGCGCGACGCAAATCTTGGATTGCCCGGTGGAGCTCGAGGCGAAGATTCGGGGAAACCTCAAGGAAGCGTCGGAGTGCAGAATGTTGACACAGGTTCCAGGTCGCAACTGGAAGGAGTGCGAGGCGGTGTCATCCTCCCTGAGCTCCCTCGTGGCTGCCATCGTGCCCGGTCACTTGCGGAAGCTGAGTACGGTCTTCCGAATTTCGGGGCTGCAGATAATGGGACTGAGCTCAGTTCGATCCGACAGTGATGACTGGGTCTTGCCGAGCTGTTCCACATGCAAACGAGCTTACCCCTGCCAGGCATGAGCTCGGATTTGTTTACTTATCTAATATCTGTGCATTTCTTGTTTTTTTCCTTTTTGTTGTTATACAATTGCGTGATTCAGAAACCCGCGAAAAACTCGTTCAGGCACATCCGGATGCTACCCAAGAGAACCGCCTGGCTCTGTGCGCGATCTTCGTCGATAGCGATTGCCAGTGCTCTATGGTTTTGTACCACGACACCATCGCTGCCAATGTGGATCTGGGACAGGAGTTTTCGGGACGAGATACTCCGGAGCTGCGGACCAAAGTGCTGCGAGGTTTCCAATGCGCTTTATGGTGTGCGAAAGTAACGTTCCGAGAAAACGAATATCAGCAGATCATGGAACTGGAGTGTCGCCACCTCGAGCCCTTCCTGAACTTCCATGCAGCCTCCTCGGATCTGTTGCCCCACATGCTGAAGCTTCCGCGTTGCTCTGTGGGAGGTGGTTGCCCAGTTGCTCCGTTACGGGAAGTGACGAGGGACGCCGACCTCGGCATGCTCACGGTGCACAAGATCGATGCTTCATCGGTGAGGGCTTTGGTGATGTTCAACGACGTTGACATGGCCGACGACGAGAGTTTGCAGCAAGAGATGAACACGACGTCGGCCATGAGAGTCAAGCAGTGGGTGGACTGCTGCTTATGGGGACTGGCCCCGTTTCAAACGGACGATGCTCCGTTCCGCTGCAAGATCCGAGCGGCTGGTCCGAGCTCGGCGGTGCGCTGGCTTCTCCAAGGCAGGAAAGGCGACGTCTTCCAGGTCGTGTTGATGCAGACGGAGACGGACGACGAGTACTCCGTGCTTTGGCACGTGCCAGTCCAGGAGGACGCCTTCGAGTCGGTCCGGACCTATTATCGCTATGTCTGCGCTCAGCAGCAGGAAGCAGACGAGTTGGAATTTGAGACCAACTGGACGCCTGCGAAGCGGATCAAGACTGTGAGAGAAAGCATGCCCACGCCGTCGAAGAACAGCGGTGCTTGGGAAGAGCAGTTCGCCTGAGACTCGCGCAGTCCATCGGGTGATTTAAAAGGCGGAAACGGTGCGCGCGACCCGGATTGGGAAACCGCATTTTCTCCGCCAGGAGCCGATGCCGTCAGTTGGAATCCATATGTCTCTAGATATCGCCAGTATCGAAGATGATGAGGCTCGGCTTCGTAGTTCCACGGGATTGCTCCGGCATGGTTTTGCATCTTTTGCTTCTAGACAGCTTTTCGTAGACGTAGGATGGACCCTGTGACCCGTACTGGGAATCAGCGTCGGAGTTATATCTGCCAAGGGCCGACGTTCGAGTTGAGACTCTGCTTGGCACTTACTCGGCATGGCTCTTGTGCTTTTAGAGCGCTTTCTTGCACGCAGCCTACCACTCGGATTGGGAAGCGCTGCGTGACTTGGATTTTGAAGCGCCCTGCAGTTATTATCAGACTTGTTGTTGCTTTTGAGCATCGCAAACATTGCAGAGCATCCAGCAGCTATTTTACACATTTCTCTTGCTGCAGCATTGATGTACGTCTTGGCCTCCTGGGGAGCTCTAGATACCTTCGCTTGCTCCTGGCTCAAGAGTTAGTCTTGTTTTAGAGATCGCCGTCGCGGCATCGTTATTCCGTCATCGTCATGTCCTCAGGAGACGACTCCGAGGCCAGCTGGCCGAGTTCCACCGCTCCCACCAGGTCGCACCGCATCAAGCTTGCTGAAGCGGGCCGCGCCGACGCGGCGAGCGACATTTCTTCCAGGAGTGCGATGAATGCTCTTGCGGCCTTCGTTCAGAACACCGATGCCAGCATGCAAACTGCGTTGGCTAACCTGTCTTGGGCTAATAGGACTCGGATCAAGCTTCTGCTTTCCCGAATCGAAGCTTCGCAAGATTACCAGCGCCTCGGCTACGTGATGCACCCGGGACCCGTGCCCGAGATCAGGAATGTGGCGAACGGCGAGACCTCTGCTAGCTGATTTTCTGACTGCAGTAGAAACTGGTATCGATGTAGGTCGGAGGCGTGTGATCCGGATTGGAAAGCCGCAACGGTTAGGCTGGCGAAAGCCGAGTTTTGCTTCACAACAGCTTCCCTGGACGTCTAGCGCGGACACAAAAAAATCTCGCTGCCTGTGAAACCTGAGCTCAAATGACACTGCCCATGGCTCTCTCGAAAGCGTTTGCTTGGACGGCACACTCGCAATGACGGGCTCGGACCAGAGTTATGGGTCCTTGACCGTGCGGGACAGTGTCGTTGGCCGGCGCTGGGGATTTATTCTGTGCTCGCCTAGCAAAGTGGTGTGCCCACGGCAGGTGATTCAGCGCAGATTGCAGGGAAGGCCCGACTACTAAATACTATGCCACGTACCCGCGCCCACAGGCAAAGTCTTGAAGTACTTTGCCCATCGCTGAAAGTTGCCCGCGTGGACCTGCATGGCATCTTATGTTGTGCCTCATTGACAGGTCTGTTTGGATCGGCTGCGTTGCGCAGCGATCCCGGTGCACTCTACGATGAGCGTGACCTGTCTTCTTGCGGGCCTTTACGGGGCGCAATCGGATTTCAGCGTGCAGCTCCAGCGGGGTGACCCCATCTTGGCCGAATGGGGGTGGCTTAGAAGTCTCCGGTCCGCATGACTGTCAGAGCACGCTCGTGTTTGAAAAGACGCCGGGGAGGCTACAAGCTGCAGCTGATAACATGTGAGAGCGCATGGACGTGGAATTGCAGGGACTGGTTCGTCATGCTTAAGCATCGATCTCGTGCACTCAGCTTTCCGATTCTCGAACTTTTCAGCATCCCCTTCTAGCTTTCGACTTGACTCGCTTTCGCCATGTATGCTAGCTCTGTGAGTGTGCTTTGCAACACGAGGCAGCGCTTGCGTCTTCTGGACTCCGTCTATTCGAGAGTGACGCTCGAATAGACGGAGTCCAGAAGACGCAAGCGTTGCCAAGTCGCTGACGTCTGGCATCGCGAACTGCGAGCTGGTGTGTGGGCTGCTGAAACCGGCTCAACAGATGGACTCCTACGACGCGGTTGTTCTGATTGTCTAACGGCTTTGTGCCGTCGTCGGTTCGACTCCGTATCGAGTTTGCAACCTGCACACTCGATGTGAGGGAGTCCAATTCACGTGCTACACTGGCTTCGACAAGAAGAAGATGACCAATCACTCTGCATGCTAGCGGTGAGAATGCGGTTTGCAACACGATGCAGTGATTGTCGTCCTCTGGACTCTTTCTGTTCGAGAGGGACACTCGAATAGAAAGAGTCCAGAAGACGACCGCAAAGCGAGTGGCGTTTGGCACTGCGAACTGCATTCTGGTGCGTGGGTTGCTGAGACCGCCTCAACGGATGGACTCCTACGACGCCGCTGGTGTGATCGTCTGACTGCTTTGTGCCGTCGTCGGTTGGACGCACACTCACAACGAGACGGAGTCCAATCGACGCGCCGCGCTGGCTTCGACCAGAAGAAGACGAATACTAAATGACGGGCTCGGATCGATCGTCTGTAGCTGTGCAAGTTTCACGACAGAACCTTGATGTGCGTTTCGCCCTGGGCAGCATACCGCGCGACCCGTATTGGGAAGTACACGGAATTTGCGTGATTTTGATATTGCATCTTATGAACAAAACATTACAGGTCGGACAGCTGCTCGATGCAAAACAACTGCTCGAAACCGCGACCTGCGATGAGTGGATGTCCTTGCACCCTGTATGAACGCAGCGACTTGCATGGTTCCTTGGTAATTTGATACCGAGTAGAGTGCTGTTTTGTTAACCAGTTGTTCAAAATTCTAGTTTTCTCTTTGTCACACCGACCTTACCAACAAGTCGCGGTGTGTTCAGTTTGGATTCACCAGCCGCGCCTGCATGCCGATGCTCGGGCATCGGGTCGCATTGGGGGACCGTGGAAGACGCTAAACCCAACTGCCAGGACACGTCTCTCTCCCAATGGGACGGAGACGCACCCTGGCAGTTCGGTCCGCGGAAGACGGAACCCTTGGATCGACCGTGCGACCCGTATTGGGAAGTACACGGAATTTGCGTGATTTTGATATTGCATCTTATGAACAAAACATTACAGGTTAGACAGCTGCTCGATGCAAAACAACTGCTCGAAACCGCGACCTGCGATAAGTGGATGTCCTTGCACCCTGTATGAACGCAGCGACTTGCATGGTTCCTTGGTAATATTATACCGAGTAGGGTGTTGTTGTAAGTTACCACCACCCCAGCCGATGTGTGTGGCCGCTACCCACGACTCGCTGTGTTTTGCACATGTCTCTGAGGAATGAACGTAGTGCAGGGCAACTGATAGTCGCACACGAGTCTCCTGCCCCTACCCACGGTGCACATCCGCCGAACGCTTCTTTCGAGATTCAGTTCGAGTTGTGTGCTGCAGCACCGCTGGCCGGGTGCTGGGGGGCCGCTGCATCGAGTTTTTCGAGCTCTTGAGGCCAACGCAGAGAGCTCTGTGCTCTCTGTATGACAGTCGGACACATGGGCTGGCGTGCCGGCTGGGAGCTCCTTAGTCTCTGCGTGAGCGTCGCTCGGGCGGTTCGGAGGGGAGGCCCGGTGTGACATGGGATAACGTGCTGAGCACATGCTTTCCGTTCTCTTGGATCGACGACCGAGGCAGAGTGCCAGTCGAACCTCTTCGGTGTTGCCTTACCTAAGGAGTAAACCCTTGCCCCGTCGTGGTTGCTCCCCACACCATTGGCCATGTGTGAGGCGTTCGGTTTTGCCTTGAGGCCAACTTACCCCAGGGCAGGGGGTAGATGACAGCCGGGCACATGGGCTAATGCGCCGTGCTGGGGCAAAGGCTGGATTTTCTGCGACCTTGGATCGTGTTGTCCGGGCCAGACTTCCAGGTTCCGAACAAAGAAGGGAGGCCGTCCGTTCTCGGGACATGGCTGTGTTATTGAGCAGAGAACCTTGCTTGGTTTGCTGTTCGGTTGTGTTTGTCACGAGTGCCAACATGTTCAGAATGGGGTTTGGTGTATAGCGGCTCTGTCCGTCCACACCTTTGGCGTGGCCTTACCGACGAGAAGCCCGGGCGCACCTCAGGCTGTCTCGACACATCGTTGGCCGGGTGTGGGGCATGTGTTCCTGCCGGCCGCCGACGTTATCCTTCTGAGGCCAACGTGCTGTGCGCCAGCACATGACAGCAAGACGATGGGCTAAAGTTGAATGTTTTCAAGAAGCTTCTGTTGAGGGTATGTATAAAAATGGTCATTTGTTTTGGACAATTGTTTGGCAATTGTTTTGCAATTGTTTTGCAATTGTCAATTGTTTTGACAATTGTTTTGCAATTGTTTTGCAATTGTTTGAAATTTGTGTGTTTTTTTGAACAATTGTTTTTCAATTGTTTTGGAATCTGGTGTTTTTATTGAACAATTGTTTTTCAATGGTTTCTTAAATGCTATGTTTTTGAAACAACTCTGTTGCACTTGTCTTTTACTCTGCTACAGCTGCAGTTTGATCCACTTGTTTTGGAAAGAGGGCATTGCGCTGTCTGAGTCAAAACCCGGGGAGGGGGGGGCAAGGCGCACCAACTGTAGCACGCCTCAGTCAAGAGCCCACAGTCAAGTTTTAGCAAACCAGGATGGCGCCAGTCCAGGCATGAGTGCTGCATTATATGTGTTTCCAAGACTCCGCTATATACTGCTGATTGCATCAGGCTCAACCGTGAGTAGATGAATAGGTCCAAAGCGACATGTTCGATTTTAATCTTGAAGATCTCGCAAGCATTGCCGTGGAACACGCGCCACATGTAGTTCCACGCCCTGCACGCTTGCCAGCGCGGCAACAGCGAGTTGCCCAGCAGAGACAAAGAGCAGCAGGCCCACAGCAAGCTGTTCGGGGAGGAGGAGCAGGCCTTCGGCCAGGTCGAGACGGTAGAGGCAGGGGCGGCAGAGGACGAGGAGTCGGGCTCGGTAGAGGCAGAGGCAGAGGCGGCAGAGGACGAGGAGACGGGCTCGGTAGAGGCAGAGGCAGAGGCGGCAGAGGACGAGGAGTCGGGCTGGCAAGAAGACGGATTGGCTTAAAGAGGTCCAAAAGCATGAAGGAAACACATAAGGCCCACAGACGACGGCAAAGCCGATTGCAAGCAACTCATGCTAATTTGTCTGGAAGGAGCAGGACGACAGATCACCTGATGCCGATGGAATCATCAGAAAAAAGGGCCAAGGTGTCTGGGAAAGGCGCATGGAAAGTGTGGACACCGGAAGCGTTACTCCGAGCAGCATTTTCTCAAGCATCATCGGCGTTGCGCCAGGTCGCCAGCGAGATAGATGGAGCCAGTGCGGCTCATGTGTTGAGCGCTCGTACTTTTGTGTCTAGTGTGCTTTTGAAGAAGCAAGAAGAAGGCCTTGCACAAGAGCTAGGCAAAGCAAGACATTGTGCAGTATCAGAGTCGCACAACCCACCTAAGCTTTGGATCTTGAACCTGATGTTCGACGAAACCGAGCTGGATCTGAGTTTGAATGGTGATGGGCCGGGCTCCTGGTCAATTCTAGCTTCTCATTCTCAATTGAGCTTCGGTTCAGCAGGAAGTATGACAGAACAGGATTTCATTCGAGTGCCTCAGGCCCTGCCCCGCAAAACAACTGCATGCATGTGGGCAGCATTGAACCTCGGAGCAGGGGGCCTTGGGCCAGGTAGCTTTTGCACCTTGGCTGACTTTCCATGTCTGCTGGTGACGTGCGACCAGGCCTCAGCAAATATCAAGTTGCTCAAACATTTGCATGCAGTTCTGCCTGAGCAGTGTTTTTTTATCCCTATGCTTTGTGCTCAACATAGGAACGGGAACGTGGTTGAGCGAATTACAAAGCTTTTGGGCATTCTGCCAGGTTCCTACTGTGTAGCAAAGTGCACCAGTAAAGGCAAAGTGTTCAAGGATCTGAGGGAAGCTGTCAAGCAACAGATTGACAAGGATTTGGTCGTCATGTCAGAAGAGCCTCCAGGTTTGCAGGCCGAATGGTCCAGCGCACGCAAGCAAGCAACCACCTTCTTAGAACTTATGCTGCAAGGATTGGGCGATGCCAAACCTGAAGAACGTTCCGGAGTTTCGCAGCGGATCAAGAAGTTCGTGGACTTCTTCCGCGGCCCCTGGACAGGACCGAGTGCTGGGGTTCGGTTGGGTTCTTGATTTGGGAATCAGTGGTAAATCTAGATAAATCTGGTTGTGATTGCGCACGATGCCATAAGCGACTGATTAAACTTCTGCTTTATGGCTGCCGTAGCATGTCCTACAGTTGCAAAGTCTACTTGGAGTGTCGTTGCATGTTTTGACAGTTTTGACCTCTGATGCATGTGCACTCTGCATGTGGTTCAAGATCGCGACGTTCAGCTGACACAGTGAGTGAGTGACGTGTGTCTTTTTTTCTGAGCATCCCCGATTGCAATGTCGGGGCCGTCGGGGCTTTTCGAAATGACCGATACCCAGCTCCTGGCTTTCTTGCGGACAGAAGGGTTGGCAGCTTGTTTCGAAAGCATGGACGCTCGTGCGTCCGCGCTACAGGGCCTTTGGCCGGGTCCGGAGATGACTTCACAAGAGCTCAGGCAGCATGTGGTCGTCATCACGGACCACCTCGCATGTGACACCTACGGTGGAGTCGAGGCGATCAAGTGGGCACGGAACAGCTACAACGACAGGATCGATGTGCCCAAATACTCAAACTAGCCGTTATGGCTTATAGCCTAGAGTCCTAGAGCAGTAGGCGCCCCCCAAAGCCTGTAGCCTATAGCTCTCATACTTTATGACTTACCATACCATACTACAGTCTATAGTCCTATACTAAGGCATAGGAAGCAGGAGGCAGTTCTAAGTTAGTTGCTTTAAGGCGTAGCCGGGGGTTTCGTTTTGGACTCTTGGCTCTTTGAACTTTTAACGTTTCTGTTTGGGCCCTGTGTAGGCATCCTGCCCATGTCATCTTGGACCTGACGAATGAGTTCGGTTCCAAGTTGTGGCTCGGCGGATCGAAGGCAGGCACCGACACTAACCTGATGATCAGGAATGGAATCGGAGCGGTGTGGCCTGCGGCCAAGTCGGTCCAGCCGGATGACACAGCGGCGATCCGTGTATTGAGGTACACAGATGGGACTGGCGTCGTGCACGGCAACGTGAACATGGAGAGCGTGCTGCAGCAGATCGACAATGTGATCTCCTTGCTGCACCGCGGCGTGTCGGTCCTCATCTGCTGTGTCAACGGAGCCCATCGCTCCGCGACACTTGGTGCCATGACGCTCATGCGCCTTTTAGGCTGGTCGGCGACAGAAGTTGCGAACCTCGGCATTTCAGTATAGTCACTGTGTGCTTTCCAGTGAGTCAGACGTCGATGTGTTTGCCAGAAAGGCTGTAAGAGACAAGAATCAAGTTCAGGATAAGGTTACCTTAATCTTATATTAGGCCGCATTTGAGAATCTACAGGAACTATGTCTCCACATTGCGCAACATCGTCGACCTGAACAGCAGAGCGCCGCCATCGCAGTACAGAGTGAACACTATTCGCCCCATCGACTTTTTGATCGAGCACCAAGCAGAGATCGCTGGTAAATCGGGGGCCTCAGGCCTGGTCCAGGTCGGCAGCAACCAGGAGATATTTCCTTCCACGAGATATGCGAACGCCCTCATCACCCCTGTTCAGTTTCGTCGGCGCTGCATAGAAATGGGGTTCGTCCTTTCAGGCAAGGGCAAGCGGACTCGCCAGTCGTTGCCAGGGCCACAGTCATTGATATCGTCGATGCCGCCGCCGCCCCCGCCCGGTCGCTCAAGCTCGACCCACCTTCGGTCCAAAGCTCGACCAGTCAAGCCGAGATCGAAGGGCGTTTCGCCAGGTCAGGTGCGGCAGAGTGGCACAGACACGGACTCCTCGTACATCAACGTTCCGACGGATGGTTTCTTAGAGCTGAAATTTTTATATTATATAATGATGATAATGTAAGCAAGACAGAACGGCTACAGGTTTCGGCAAATAGTGCATTTGGTCTTGGTCCGTCACTAGATTGCCCAGTCTAGACTCTAGGACTCTAGGTAGTACACAACTCAGGTTTCATTACCGACGACTCAGAGATGCCGCACCCCAAGCGCATCAGCGAGGATTCGTCGGCCTCTGGCCAGGTCAGTGCCGCCAGTGCAGATGATGAGGCAGTGGACCCACCAGTTATGGTTGAAATTGAGGTTGCAGACGACGAAGAGAACGAGGAGTCCACCATGGAGAAGGCCTGCGAAAAGGGTGCAGCCGAAGCAGAGGAGCCGGAGTCAGACTTTGAGATGGTGACCTGCGATGACGAAGGCAAAGTAGCCGATGTCAATCCAGAGTCGCCTCCGCAGACGCCCCGTGCAAACTGGACTTCGGAAGACTTTGCACGCCTGGAGACAGTGATGCGCGATCTGGGGCACCTGAACCGCCAGCTGCTTTCTTTCAACAATGCTGAGGTCGAGGAGGATCAGGCCCAGGCTGATGATCAGGCCTCGGCCTCCGGCCCGGTAAGTGACCAGATCGCAGAGCCAGGGCAGCAAGCGGCGGAAGCGGATGAGCCAGGCGGTTTCTCGTCTTCTGCTTTGTTGCTTAACCACTTATGATAGGGAAGGGTCTTGATGAAGGTCCGGGTTGAGAAAACGGTCTGGGGTTTTAGGGTACAGCTAGTTACTTTAGCCCTTCCAGCCCATTGTCGCCCAAGCTTCAAGACTTCAAGCCGATCCAAGGCACCAGCGCAGACCCCGTGGAATCGGACGAGGGGGCCCGGGACGAGGCCTTGGGCCAGGTTGATGATGAGCCTGCGACTCCTGCGACGGCCGAGTCCGGAGAGCCGCTGGAGCCCTCCAGTTTGGACCTCGAGAAGACGATGGAAGCGCTCAAGGCGCAGGCGGCGGAAGGCGATAAGGACGAGATGCTTGGGAGGCTTTTTGGGCTACTTGAGACCCAGAAAGTCCAACAGCAGGCTCTATTGTCGAGACTGCAATCTCGCCAAGAAATGGACGAGAGAAAGAACGTCATCCTCACAGCGCTGTACAATCGCGACATGACGCGCCTCAGGGCGGAGCTCCAAGCGCTGACGGTCTCTGACCTCGTCTCAATCAGAGACGAAGAGGGGATGACAGTCGCCCATCATGCCGTGCGTTTGGGCCTTGGGCCTTGTCTGGAGTATACTCTCCGGAAAGCCCCGACTCTTGCGGATGCCGTGACGAACCCCTCAGGTCGCCCAGCGAACTGGACGCCGTTGATGGTGTTGGTTGATGCACCACCAGGATCTTTGGGAGGCACGGACTACGCCTACGACATGTTGAAGGTCCTGGTTTCCTACATGAGCGTCACAGGTCTCGTGAATCTCGGTCCTTTCAAGTAGTGTTCGTGTTTGTAAATATGTACTTCGGTGTGTGCTTAGTAAGATTAGTAAAAGATTATTCTTGAAGATTTTCGTGCCAACGTGACACAGTGATGTATTGGCCTTGGGCCGGGTCTTGCCTGGTGATTTTGGGCAGTTTTCTCTTGTTCTAGTGTTGCTAAGGACCAGGTCTCCAACAGGGGCGACAGCGTTTCACATTGCAGCCTCTCGTGGGAACCACCGTGGGCTGCAGAAGCTTTTGTGGTCCCTCTACCACAAGAGTGGTGGTGACAGGAACTCAACCTACGCATTTGGCCTGGTGACCTCACTCGTCAACAGCCCCGGCTTGAAGCGCGGGCAGGGGGTCGTCGACGCCGCACTCGCGAACAATGTCGACTTGGCGATGTATGTGAAGCGGAATTGGGGCGGGGTCGAGCTTTTGTCTCCCCCAAGCCGCGGCGGCTATGCTGCGTAGAAAGTCAGAGTGTTGGCCTCAGGCCAGGTCAGAGCTGTCGCAACCAGGAGGAACCCCCACTAAGTATAGTTTCAGCCCAAGCATGGCATGTCGATCGTTGTCTAGAATTGCACAGATGTTTTGTTGGGTTACTTTCGTTTCATGTTGCTGGGCGACAGTCTCTGACCTGAGCAGTACAGTCCCAATCTTCCACAGTGTTCCAGAGGGCAGGCTGGACTGGTACAGTGACAGCATCAGACATCAACGGCCTGGCCTTGGGCCAAGCCTAGCTTAGTTTGCTTTCGGTACAACGAAAGGTCAAAGTTGGTTTCATTGATCGGCCTTTGGCCAAGTCCAGTCTGCTATCGCTGTCGCTCAAGTCGATTTCACAAACGACGACTGCATTCCTTTCGTGTGTGATTTCGCTTGCTGTTGCTGCCACGTGAAAAAGATCACGTCGTTTCTGCCGCAATAACTACGCGAGGCTTGTGCATGGGCTGCATGGGTTCCAGGCAGATTAGTTAATGTCAAGTCAAGGCAATGCAACTTGTGATTCAGGCTACCGACATCTGAGGGCTTGACCGTTGCAGTGCAGTTTCCATACCCCAGGCAACATCCCCCTAGATGTTGATGCTCTCAGTCCGAACTGTCGTCAAGTTAGTGTTACAACACATCCTACTCTACCCGCTTTGTTTTGTGAGTTTGTTACATGTGACTATGACTATGACTCTACGACTATGTATGCGACGCTTTATGAATGCTAGCTGCTAGCTCCCTGCATGGAACCCAGGTTGCAGTCTAGTTTGCTGCTGTTATTGGCTGTTATGCAGTTATGCACTCGACAAGCTTGCATCGCAGCGTGATAAGTTTTCAATAGTTCAGCCAAGACATGTTTTGAAGCGATTTTGAACCGATTTTGAAGCGATTTTGAACCGATTTTGAAGCGATTGCCTGCAGGACGGCCAGTTCACGTATGTGGAGGAGCTGATTGCTGCAAGGACCGAGCCGACCCTGTTTGCAAAGCCTTCGGCTTGGTGGAAGAGGTTTTGCTCAAACCCGTTTTGGTGCCAGCTTTGAACAAATGGACGAAGGTTGCACCTTGCATGCGGCACATTTCTGTGATGCAGAATTTTTGCAACCTTGTTCCCCAAGCCTTCGAGGCCGCCTTCGGCACATCGAAAATGGTGCCTGAAGCGCCAGACGACGAAGAAGAAGGTGCAGATGTTGGAGCCCCGCTTAACGAATCAAAGCTGTGGGCCCGATTGGCCAGGTTACGGTTGGTGAAGGCTGGGGTTTTTTTACAGGACAAGTCTTTCCATTGGTCGACAGTCCTGTGGACCGTGTTGACTGCGCCAGTCATGAACATTCATTATGCATTGTTTAAGCACGCCACATGGTTGTCAGATCGTGATCTAGAAGCACCGGAAATGCAGGAGGAGGGGGATTTGGAGTTGGATAGGTCTTTGACCGCGTCTTGCTTTTGCAAGGCAGCTGAAAATCCCGCCAAGAAGGCGATGGCGTGCCTTTCAAAGATGCTTGATGACGTCGCCAGCGACGAGTGGGGTCCCGCCGTCCTGTGCTTTGGCCCGATTCTGTCGTGGCCTCAGGCCAGGTTGCGAGTGCTTCGGCGAGGATTTTTCACTGTGGTGGGTCAACTCTGGAGGAAGCTGCTTTATCCTTGGACGCAATACCCATGGAAGCTAGCATGTCTGATCGACAGCGAAACGACCAATGCAGAGAAGCAGCGTTGTGCTCAGGATTTGTTTGATCAGCCTGTGTGTTGTTTGGATGGATTTGCTAGGAAGCTGCGCGAGGTGCGAAAGTCTTCAAACAGTTTGATGGAGGATGATGTGTTGGAGTTCTTGCAAGCAGTGTTTGAACGGATCGTTCCCACTTCCACGTATATTGAAAGAATGTTTGCAAGACTGACAGAATGGAGTGGACCAACGAATCAGAGAGGGCCGAAGAGAAGATTGTCAGCAGTCGTATCCAAGCACTGCGCGCACACGTTCGAGCACCATGTCAAGAGGTGGCGGAAGATGACTTTGAGGCAAAAGCGCAAACGTCTCCACAACCGAAGGCCTGCATGGGCGCAAGGTAGGCTGAAGGGCAAGGCGCGAAATGGTTGGCATGCTTTTGCGCAGGACTTGTTTCGTCGGCATCCTGGGCTTTTGCAAGCGTCTCGAGGTGACCGCAATGCAAGAGTGGCCGCTGAATGGGCCCAAGCCGACAAAAAGCGCTGGGCCGCTGTCGCACGCTCTCAGAACCTCCAGGCCAGTAGTGCAGTGGATCAGGAAGCGAGTGCAGAGGATGCCCAGGCCGCCGCCGATTTTGTTGGAGGTCCTTGGAATATTGGTGCCGCAGACGGGTTCCCTTTAGCGCGGCACAGTATCGCTGCTGATTGCAACAAGGTCAAAGCAATCGCAAATGCTTTTCATGCACAGCACAATGTCCTGCAGCCGGAAGAGGCCAACAGCTTGTTGGGAGCTCCGCCTGAACCGTGGCCTCTGTTCCCCACATGCACAATCAACGGCTGTGAGCATTCACTGCCAGAAAAGAAGCAAGAATGCATGCAGCATCTGCGTGCGCTGTTCTGGCGCGCCGTGCTGCAAAAAGCCCCCACAGCCAAATCCACAGGGAAAGAGCCGTTGCTTCTCTCCTTTCATTCCGCCACACTAGATGCAACTCTAAGCCTGGCTGTTGCTTTTCACACTCTCCGCGCCCCGCACCAGGCGGCAGTGCTTCTTCTCCACCCTGTAGAAATGGCTGATCTTGCAGGAGAGGGTGTTGTTGTGAGCCTGCATTGTTTTTCGCAGAGTGGTCGAAGAGAGCTTCAGCTTGAAAGCGAGAGTGTGGCTTTGGCAAGGCTTGCCCGGCAAGCGTCCGACTGGAAATTGAACGTGCTAGACGTGGGGCCTGTGCGTCACATCAACAGGTTCGACATTACAGCATCCCATCCTTTCGATGACAAAGATGGCGGCGATGCGGGTTTGCCAGCGCAGGTTGATGCTGACACTGAGGCTGCGCTTGTTGCATTCGATGCATTGCACCCATCTGCTCAAAAGAAGGGCCCCAAGAGGCAGTTCCAGGCCTCAGGCCAGGTTGGGCACGCAAAGCCTTCAGGCCTCAAGACCGAGCCAGAAGCGAAGAAAAAGCTTACCAAAGAGCAGAAAGCGAAGCGTGCACAGATTCGGGCCGAAAAAGCGCTGCAAGGTATAATTCCTATGCCCTCGGATTCAGAATCCGACGCTGCCGGTGATGGCAATGGCAATAATGTCCAAAATGCAGATGAAAAAAATGAAGAAAACATTAATGCAGAATCCGAGCTTGAAGACTTGGAGGCTCCCAAATTTTTGGTTCCAGAGGAGGAACTCACGCAGTACGAGCAACCAGCTTCAAGTAGCTCAGTCGTGCCCAAACAGCGGCAACTTCAGACACGTTCGATGATGAAGCGGGGGCAGCCATGGGGAATCTTTTCCCTTTCTCCAATCTACCGTGATGGGGTTCATGTTGCTTGGGAGGCACTGTGTCGCTGCCACAACAACCTCGGGGATAAGCTGGGCTCGTCCTGCAAAAAATCCGTCTCCATAGCGAACATGACAGACGCAGAAGCAAAACTGCGACTGAAACGTTGGCTGGTTGCAGGCTTGGACGACTCGGAGTGGCGCGACAATGAAAAGCGCAGCTGCCACCTGTCTCTGGGCGGGCCCTTGCTTGCACATTTTGCCGAAGGTTTGTCTGAAGCTGAGCTTGATGTCAAGGCTGGGGTGCGCCAGTGATTTTTTATGGTGTTGCTGGATGCCGTTACAAGAGCTTGACCTTATAATTCAGGGTTTGCAGGGTTTAGGGTTTAGGGCCTCGAGCCGGGTCTCTGAGAACCTAGCTAGAAATCCAGCAGACTTGGTTGAGCGTGGAAAAGCCAAAGCTGCAACAGCTGCTTCATGGGCTTGCGCCAAAAAATCAAAAAACGGCTTCAAGGACCAACTTTTGTGATTTGTGGCTTCAAGCCAGGTCTAATCTTCGCGAACACGCGTTCTGCCGCTATTCGAGCGGTCTGTGATCCTTCCGATTGGAAACCCAAACACGTCTTCCAAGACGAGCTTTTGTGGCCTAAGGCCAGGTCTCAGCGCGAAAGCCTAGAAATCCAGGAGTCTTGGCAGAGCGTGGAAAAGAAAAAAAAACCTTCAAGGACCAGCTTTTGAGATTTGTGGCCTCGGCCAGGTCTATATTCTATATTGACCAACGCGCGATATGTCTATGTCGCTGGTCCAGCGTTCAAAGATGAGCGTCTGTGGCCTAAGGCCAGGTCTCATTGCAAAAGCGCAAACCCGGAAATCCCGGAGACTTGGCAGCGTGGAAAAAAAAGCGGCAACAGCTGCTTCGGGCTTGAAGGCCTTGCGAAAAAGCTGAAGAGGACTATCGGCGATCGGGTCAAGGCGATTCCGCAAAGCAGCCGCTTGGAGGCGTCGTTCAAGCAGGAGATCCGTGGTTGTTTGCATAGTCGCAGACTTTTCTTATTTGGGTTAAGTGTTTGGTGATTTTGTAAACGCGCGCAGTTTTTCATGACGTAGAACACTGGTCCAGGACAAAAGTGCAAGGGATGGTGCCATCGACAAACACAAAGGATGTCGGGCTCTCAGAGCGGGTCAACAAGCGTGAAGAGCGCAGTTTCGGCTTCGACCGCCTCTTGCGAGAAGGCTTTGGAATGCGAAAGGGAGGCGCTGCATACTGCAGTGCAGGCACAGTCGGCGCCGGTGGCTACCACTGCAAGGCCGGAGCCCGGTCTTGGAGTAGTAGCCACCGGCGACGGCCGGCGACCGCTATCTTGATGGCCACACAGCCTGTAGCAAGCCAGGGAGACCGTGTGCCAGCGGCCATGACCTCCTTGGCTTGCTACAGGCTGACTCTGAAGGCGATGACGATCCATGACTGTCTGTAGCAAGCCAGGCAGGCCAAGCTGCCAGCATGGCCTGCCTGGCTTGCTACAGACTGTCGACTCGACAGCGTTCCTCTGTGCGCAA